AAATTCTAAAAATGTTTTCTAAATGCCCTAATTTTATGAGAAACATTCAGGAAACAATTTCATTTCTAAAAATAATTTTACAAAGATTTTCGTCAAATTTCATTCGTTTTTGACCAAAAATGACATGAAAAATTCACAAGTTTTATCAAGAAAAATGTCTAAAAATGAGTTTGTTTCTTTATACAGGACAATGGTTTCATATCACGGCTAGCATCGACCGTTAGCATCTTTATGATCATGGCCAAAGGAGTTTTAGCTAATTGTAGGTTGTGTCTCCTTGTTGTCTGGATGGGAAAACACACAGGCTACACAGAGGCACAGCACAGCACGGTGGCGCTGCCGAGCTAATTCAAAAATAAAACTTAATCCAAATCATTCACATGGTCTTAGTTTTTGAATATGAAGCGAAAGCAAAAGTATGATGGGAAATAAAAATGTTACCAGGGTCGTTTGCGCGCTAAATGTAATGCAACACCGCCCTCTAGTGGAAATAAGCCAGAGTGGTAAATTGTGATGAACCACGTTATCGTTGAGACAATGATTAAATTCATTTTTATTTTCACAAATTTAAATTTCATTTTTTTAACTGAACAATAAATTCCCATTGATTCACTGATGACAGAAGAGTTTGTCATTTTTCTAGTGTTTTTGAAGGTTGTTTTATTACCATGGTAGAAACAGGAAAATACAGAATTTATTTATTTATAAAAAAGGAAAATACAGACTTTATTTATTTATTTATTTTTTGTCTGGTCTCTGCTCCATCGCTCCATCATTTTTGTGCTCTTTTTATTTTGAAGCGTTGACCCCATATATGGAGCATGTTGGTGTGTCACACGGACATGCGGCCACCAGGGGGCTTCACCTGCTTCTACACACGTTAACCCTGACTTTTACAGTGGTCTGATTCATGTCTGTCGGTTCTTCAGATGAATCGTTACAGTTACAGTTACAGTTACAGTTACAGTTACCTCTCCACCGTTAAATCACTTCATAAAGTACAGCTGTAAACAACATGACGTCACTGTCCTCACTCCCCTGGGGTCAGGGGTGAGTCAGAGGGGGTGAGGTGTGTACATCTGGTAAATACAGAAGTCATGGCTTCATTCCACCTGGAGAGGGTGACGTAGAGCAGCAGCAGCAGCTGTTTTTTCACCCTGTCTGTCTGTCTGTAACACCCTCACCCATCAGTCTCACCCATCAGTCTCACCCGGAGGTCTCACCCGGAGGTCTCACCCATCAGTCTCCCCCGGCGGTCTCACCCGGAGGTCTCACCCATCAGTCTCCCCCGGCGGTCTCACCCGGAGGTCTCTGTGTCCCTGCGGGACTTGTTTCTGTCACAACACGTCAAACAGAGACTCTCACTTTGACTGAAAACACAGGCTTAAGAGGGCGCTGTCACATTAACATCACTTCACGTCTGTGGGCTGTGTTTGGTCTAAAACATCTCACCACCCTGCCCCCCCCCCCCAACCCTCCCCCAGACACTTTTTGGACATTTTTGGAGAAAGTGTGTGTGTTTTCTTTGCTGTTTTGTTTTTATATTGTCTGTGTGTGAGAACCACGTGAACACAAGTCAGTGGAAAGCTAACAATGCTACAACAGTTAGCATTAGACACAGACGAGGAAGAAATCCAGTCAAAATCTCAAAATAGTTTAAACTGCTCTTTTCTCGATCAAAGATTTACACCAACGTCTCTTAAGGAATGAGTTGATGTTGCGTAGCGTTGGTGATGATATTTTGAGCGTTTGAACAGGTAGCTCCAAGTTTGACCTCATAACAACCTGACGTTTTTAAATTCTAGGACATCACAGGCGTCGGACCAGATGTTCTCATTCTTCTCCCGCTGTCGAAACTTTTTCTTTAAATATTAAGGGTGGATTTAATCAGTGTGACCTTGTTTTAGCCACGGATTTCCGAGAAAAGAACAGATTTCTCTTTTGCCATGCTCTTGTGTGTTTTGCTGTGACCACACACACACACACACACACACACACACACACTTGGCCTCGCTCTCTCCCAGCTGCTGCAGGGCTTCACAGTCTGAGCAGATCCACCGCCTCCGGCTCCGTGTCGGCCACGGCGGCCTCTGCAGATGTTGGTGAACACCTGGTTCTCCAGCGGACAGTGGACTCTGTCAAACCGTCAGGTCACGTGACCCGTTCACGTTCATGAATCTTGAGGAGCTGATCCTGCGTCGTCTTCACTGGATTATCCCGTCTGTTGACGTCAGACTCCAGCTGTCGCTCCGACACAGGAGCTTCTGTTAGTTTGAGCTGATGTTTCAGTTTAAGGAGCAGTTCAGCAGAAACTCAGTGTAGATTATAATCCGGAACCAGATTATCACAAATCACAACTTGGATTCATGCACTCTTTTTTTCTGGCAAATGATTTTATATTAACCCTAAACTTGTTAACATTGTTGGTTTCCTATCGTAGTATTTTTTTGGGGGGGTAACTTTGAGCTCTTACTCAACTTGAGCAGAAATAAATTGAATTTTCTTTTTTCTTTTTTTGGTTCCAGCCTCAGTTATTGGTTCATTGTTGGAGTCAGGTCTGTCTGTGTTTCCACTTCCTGTCTGGTCTGGGTGGAGTCAGTGACATCACACTCACCTGTGTCTCTGTCATCAGTCTAACTGGTGTCACCTGGTACCCCCCCCCCCTCCCCCAGTCTGTCTTTGTGGGATCATGGTTGGAGTCTAAACTGGTGAGTTCGTGTTCTGTTCCACTTGTGATTTTGACTTTTTGAATAAACGACCTACACCTTGATTAGAGTCTCTGCAGTACTACTGCAGTACAACTGCAGTAGTACTGCAGTACTGCCTACTTCCTACGGTGTCCACATGTGACAGTTGGGGCTGTTACCATCGAGTTTTGTTTTATTATTTTTAAGAATTCCACTCTCTTGTTGACATTTTTGTTTATATTTTAAAACGACTTTTATTTCTTAGCAGCCGAGCCTCCTGGGAAACCAACTGTTCCGTTAACTATGGGAAACATTACATTTGTATATAAAAGCCTTCGCTGCATGACTGTGATTTCACAGTCACGTGACTGAGGTTTATTTTAGACCAGACTTGGACGTGAAGAGATCTCCAGGGTTGTGGCTGTCAATGAGTATAAGCCGAAAAATGTGCGACTTATACTTCTGGAAATATCGTAGTTTAATGAGATTATCAGTGTAAACGACTCCATGTTGGAGCTGTGTTTATGAGCCAATCAACGTCTGTGCTGCTGTGAAGTTCAGATGTTGTTGACGCTCAGTAAATAAATACAAAGATCCAGATCCAGGTCCAAGTCCAGATCCAGATCCAGATCCAGATCCAGGTCCAGATCCAGGTCCAGATCCAGATCCAGTTACTGACCCGTTTCCACTCTGACCATTTCCTGTGGACCAGATCCTAATCTGTGACTTTCCTTTTCATAAGCAGTTATCTGACCGACAGGTAATGAAAAGCAGGAGTCCTGATATCAACCCCTAAAATATACAACACACGGGGTTTAATAACCGCCTCAGGGTCGTGTCCCTGAAGGCATCGTTATCGCTGTTAGGAAAGAAAATAATAATAAAAAAAACACAAGATATTGGTTTAGAAAAAACAAAAACAAATTAAAGTAAACACACTTCAGTCTCAAGAGTCAGACATTTAAAAAAAGAAACTGATTGAACTAAATGAACAACAACAGTTGTAAATATAATAATTATTAGAAAAAAATTACGTTCGAATAATTTCTCAAAACCTGTGTCTGCAGTGTCCTCAAATCTTCAACTGTAATTTTCAGGCACCTCCATGACCTCCGCTGACCTCCGCTGACCTCCCCTGACCTCTGGACGTCTCCAGTGATGTCAGTGAGGACACTCAGCCAGTCAGCCAGTGTTGGAGGTAAGGACGGAGTCCATCTGCAGAATGAGACGAGTCCAGGATCAGTGAAGCCTCGGCAGCATCAGTCAGGGTCGTCTGTCCTCCTCCTCAGTTAACCAGGGTTAGTATTGACGCGGCAGGTGATTAACGACCTGATTAACGACCTGATTAACGACCTGATTAACGACCTGATTAACGACCTGATTAACGACCTGATTGATTAACGACCTCCTCTGGATTAGGTTTAGGTGAAAAAGGACGGAGGGCAGGAGGAGTCAAATCAGGAGTGAGTGCAGACCTGCTCCTCCCTGCTCCTCCCTCACCGTGGCCCCAAAGTAAAACCTCTCACTGACTCCAGTTACTCCTTTCACCTAATAGACCAACAGATGGCGCCAGACTAGGCCGTCTGTATCGTGTTGGAGGCTGAAATGAAGCTGAAGAACCGGTACTCTGAGATCAGACTGGAAATTAAAGTTAAAAAAAAATATAGATGTCAAATAAATGTTGGACTGTTGACCTGTGGGTGTGGCCCACACCAGTCTGTTAGTGTGGCCCACACCAGTCTGTTAGTGTGGCCCACACCAGTCTGTTAGTGTGGCCCACACCAGTCTGTTAGTGTGGCCCACACCAGTCTGTTAGTGTGGCCCACACCAGTCTGTTAGTGTGGCCCACACCAGTCTGTTAGTGTGGCCCACACCAGTCTGTTAGTGTGGCCCACACCAGTCTGTTAGTGTGGCCCACAGACACGACCTAGATCTATGTTTCATGGATGGGATTTAAACCAACATCTGGAAAGAACTGGTTCAAATTCTGTCCAAAAAAAACCAATATAAACACTCCAGAAAGAAGGGCCAGAGGGGGCGCCACATCCTGATGTTGCCTGGGACACCAGTGTGTCCCAAAGTGTGGTGTGCAACCCAGTTACATCAACACAAACGTAGGAATGACTTTTTGACCTTTGACTTTTTCCCCGGTCAGTGAATGCATCGCTGCCATTCCTTCGTCTTTAGACGTTCAGTCCGACCTGGTGACTTTCAGATTCTTGGTTGGTATTTATGACTCTTCTGTCTTAGTTGTAGTCCAAATATGGCAAATGAAACCGACTGCCAAAACATCAGGTCATACCTGACGTCAGCCGCTGAACCTCGTCTTCTGCTCTCTATTATTCCACTGCTGCGCTTCCTCAGCCAACCACACGGGGCCCGGGCCAAATCAAAGTTCAGCAG